TAATTCTTGCCTACCATCAATAGTAATAATTAATGAAGATCATACCCTTCTCTGTAACTGTAATTAAAAACTCAGTATCTGAATGTAACGGTCTTAAACTGCGATCAAAGAAGTGCTTTTTAGTAGTTTTGAGACATATGAAAGGGAGAATTTTAACTATCTATTTACTATAAGCCATAAATTTTTAAAAATCATAAATACATGCTTAAAAACTGTAACAAATCCACAATCATCAATGGTATAATATCCCTGAGACAAAGTCAGCACAATCTCTCCCTCTTTATTAAGAGAACAGAGCACTCAAATATGATCAAGCAAAAGAAAGTGCATGATTAAGCCCTAGGTTCTCAAGATTGAGTGGAAGAAAAAACAAAACTCTAACCATATCTCCCTATAAAGAAAGAAGAAAATTATCTTTGTTTTCATATATGATCATATTCATTATCTCCATTATCATCATCATAGTAGTAATAATAAAATAGTGATAACAAGGACAATAATAATGACAATAATAATAATAATAATAATAATAATAATAATAATAATAATAATAACAATAATAATGATGATGATGATGAAAATAACAACAATACTACTACTAATAATATAAACAACAATAACTAACAATAATAATATTGATATAATAACATTAACAGTATTAATAATAACAGCAATAATAATAATAACAATAATAATAACAATAATAATAACAATAATAATAATAATAATAATAATAATAATAATAACAATAACAACCACTTCAACTATAGCCATACCAGCATGATAAGTCCGTTTATTAAGACGGCTATAGGCATGGCCCATCAGACATGGGTTAAATAATCATTCTTTCTTCTCCCCGTTGCCCATCCCACATACCATACTATTAACTATCATCTAGTCATCTGGTATTTTACTGTCATTAAAGAAAATTCTTTCAGCTTTGACACTCTACTGGTGTATTATACTTGATATATGACACTGAAATATACATTTTCAGTGTATATGATCAAGCACCTGAAATACCAAAGACAAAATTCTGCCTTGGTGAAACATGAAAAATCAGGCATCATTTACAATTGAGGGAGTGACTGAGAAGCTGGAGGGTTTGCAGTTCAAAAGGGTAAAAGTGACACATATTCATTACAAATAAAATCATTCTATGCTTGTTTAGCAATGGTGTGCTTTGTGTCACTACCACTTAGTTTCATTCAGTGTAAAATACAAATTCATATGGACCTGCTCCAATAAACCATCCCCATTTTTTAAATCTTAAAGAGGCTGGATTGAATAGCCTAGACAATGCTGCCAAGTAAATGTGACTTTTCCATAATCATTGAAACTAATAATGCAACATCATCAGATCTTGTTGCAGTCTCTACATTAGAAACACTATTGATGAACAGTAGAATGCCCACTTTAATGTAATAACTAAAAAACAGTCATCAGCAACAGAAAGGGAAAAAATGTGAAGTGAAAACTGTTTTCTATCTGCTATGCCTATGCCTACATATGCACCATAACAATAAACTCAAAATCACCTTACCTTAACCATCAATATGCTATGAATCTATCATGTAACACTTTGCTGATGCAAAAATTATATAGCAGTAACACTTTCTTGCACAGAGTATAACATCACCTAATCACTCATGCCTCAGCTGAAGGACATATGGAAAATCCTTAAAATGGCAGAAATAATAAAAAAGGGGAGGCAAGTCCATTCCTCAGCCCTTCACCTAACTTCAATTAATCATACATACACTTGCCTTCTACATTCCAATGGCAGCCTTTCTTTTCCCTGCACCTGGATAAACAGTAACAACCACCTACAGTTCATGCAGAAATGAAATATAAATATGACTTACTTGCTAATTTTCCTCCTCCCATGCCAAGTACTTGTGAGACTCAATCAATTAGGCAACAAAAGATCTATTATAGCTCCATGTGTGACAGTGCAAAAGCACATATTTTAAGAAAATGCCCAAAACTTGTATTCATGGCTTTCAGTAACATTCAGAAAGCTGAATAGCATTACATAAAAACTGCATTTCTAAGTATCATGAAATCATTTAACAGACTGGCCAATCTATGTTGTAAAATAGATAATAACCAATGCATATGCTATTGTATTCTAGCAAAATATTTCCATCTAGCATTAAAAGACAACTAAAAAAACTGGCTCTGATTTTTCTGCTAAAACTACAAGTTTGAAAATATAAAATGTCTACATAAAAATATGACATGGCCATTTACTTAAATCACACCAAATGCTTTCCTCCTAGATAGGAAGACTGTGAATGTTGCATTTTTAAATGCTGACGTACAATAATCTGTTTTCGTCACATCAAATAATAATAAAATCATTACACATTATACTTACATCTTGTATACTTGTTCTGAAGAAATAAAAGGAAATCACTCTTGGCAGTGCAATAAATTCAGGAAATGCAAACACAAAAACCCAACACCATATATTCCAGACATGCATATTAGTCTACAACAGCAACCAATCTATGCCATCTATCCTAAAGTGCAACAATATACTGAAAATAAAACATCAAAATTAACCATATACAAAGCACATATTGTTACAAAGACAGTAACTATTGGTTAAGAATATGAGAACTAACAAGTAACTTCCTCAAAAAAACTGTAGGAATCATAAAACCTCTCTCCACAATTATAGTCTTTGGAAGAATTTCAAATTCATCTCATTTTGAAGAAAAGTGATGAAAAATAATGAAAATTCTTCTTCAAGACCCCAAAAAAGACAAAGCTTCAACATCTTTCAAAAGTACAGTGTAACAAAAACATAACTAAGTCTTTAAAAAGAAACAATGTGCTGAAACAGTAAAGTTCTACTGGTAACATTAAAAGTAATGGAAAGAGGGCAGAGTCAAGTGAGACAAATGGAAAGACTGACTTCTTAAATTACAAAAACATCATTTAAGTCCACCTATCAGTCTGTTTATCTAAGAGAGTGTAAATAAGTAAACAAGTAAATAAGTGAGTGAGAGTGAGAGTAAGTGATGCTCATGTGAATTGCATATGCGTGTGTCTGTGCCTATGAACAGCGTGTGTGAGATTGAGTGAGTGAGTGAGTGAGTGAGTGAGTGAGTGAGTGAGTGAGTGAGTGAGTGAGTGAGAGGAGAATATGTGTGTGTGTGTGTGTGTGTGTGTGTGTGTGTGTGTGTGTGTGTGTGTGTGTGTGTGTGTGTGTGTGTGTGTGTGTGTGTGTGTGTGTGTGTGTGTGAGAATGAATAAGTGAGTGAATAAGTGAGTGAATGAGTGAGTGAATAAGTGAGTGTGTGTTTGCAATTGTGTAAAATCATAATCATGTTCAGTATCAATTTTTCTTTTCTGACTGCATCATTTTTGTTACTCACTGGAAAAACAAGTTGAGCACAAAATAATCAAAGTAATCATGTCTGAGTTTTGGAGGATACAAGAAATGTCCAATGCATGTATAATACACAGTTTGTGTAGAACTTAAAAAACAACAACAACAAAAAAAATAAAAAATAAAAAAATAATAAGGAAGCATGGCAAGAACTGAATCCCTGTTTAATGAGCATAAACCTAGATTTTAAATAAGGTCTAGCCATGGTTATATAAATCTGATGTCAAGTGAAAAACCTGTATACTCATCCACTGAAAGGAATATTATTGCATGTTAAGCATAATTAGTAGTTTATTGGAAAACCAAAACTCTTTTACAGCTAACACTTTCCATTTCAAATTATACACAGTGTAATACATTGAAAGGCAGAACAATGGTTTACAACAGTCAGAAATGAAAATCCACAGCCCACGAGAAGGATTTGTAAAAGGAACAGTAAGAGCTACAGGGTTTGTAATAGCCAGGTAGGGAGCGCAGTGTGAAACTCACCTGTGCAACAGCCATACTGGCCTGGATGGAGCACTGGGGTGGAGCACTAACGAGGGAAGGAAGGCTATACGGTGGTTTGCAGCCACCTGCTGCGGGGATCATGGGGAGGCACAGCCACCATCTGCAACATCAGGCAAACAACCGAGCCTTTACACCACTGACTATCTCTGTGTCATCATTCCCCCTGGCCAGTTGGGTCCTCATTTTATTTTGAAATTACATTTTTTTTTATGTTGTGTTGAAATGCAACTGCTTTCAAACTTTTGGATACTGTGATTAAGTTACTCTTTCAAAGAGACATTATTTCATCTTCAATTCTAACAATATTCCATTAAAAGCATAATACACATTTATCATCATCAATGACATAAGTCCTAAATTATATTGCCGAGAAAGAGGACATTTAACTGACTTCTTCTGAGATGAAAGTGGTACTTATTCATCATGGTCCCAGCCAATTCCCATTTACTGAAGCGCTCCCACATTACCTCTACCTTACATTGTTCACCAAATATAAGCTTAGTATCAAGGAGAATGTTACCTTGGCTAGATACTTTTTTCAGGTGAAGCTAGACCAATTACCATAAGGCTGTAAAAATTCACCTAATTCTGCTCTTCTTTCTAAGAAATAATTACCAATCTATGATCTCAATTAACAGTATATCCATATGCTTATATCCAACTACCCCCAGAAATTGAAATCGCTAGCAGGGCAAGAAAGTCTGAGGCACCTTACATAACATTTTTTCCAAAAATGTCCCCCATGTACCTCCACATGAAATAAGCTATACTAATCAGGAACCTGCACAGTCTCCAAATGTATTTACTCTATATAAGAGTCTCCAATCTAGGAAGTACCATATGAGGCCTGGCCCATGGGGAGTTAGGATGGGGCTGGTGTGACCAAAGAAATAGAGTGGCAACAATAGGGACAAGAGATCCAGGCAAGGGGAGGGATGGTAAGGAGAGTCAGTGGGGTTAAGACAATTTACTCATGCATTTAGCAGTGCACCAAATTACTAGCAACTACAGCTCCTTTACTGTACATGCAGGGAGTGGACGCACCATGCGACCCATCATGCACATTAGACATATCATGCACAGTACTTACGTTATCCTGAGCAATCAAGCCTGCCGTGTCCTGTGGGACAAAAACCGGTTTTATGGTCATGCAAACCTACCCAAAGCCTGACCATAATCTACCTCAGCCCTGAATGTTACAAACAATAATTCTTAAAAAGATGTCAGTGATTTATCGATGTCATAAGATCTATTAACATCAAACTTAATATTCTTTAATAAAACATACCCTATAGTCCTTGACAACAAGGAACATTTGAATTGGCATTTATTTCCAGCTGGATATGTAAACAACACTTACAATTGGAGAGATTTCAAAATTTTCATGAAAGCAAGGTTTCAGCTCAAATGCTATTCCAACCTAAAAGAGACAGTGCCATATTTGATCATAGTACTTTATCACTTCAATCCTAAACCTCAACCTCTGCAGCCAGTTCTCCTTAGGAGTCAAGTAATGGTAAACCTAATTGAAAGATTTTCTCTTGGGGATGTCATTGTGTGCTCCAAAACTGAAAAGCTCTTTTGCAACACATATGAAGAGACATTAGCTCCTTCTGAGAAAAACAAACAACCACTGGTCCCACTCCATGCTCTTACCCACCTTTCCAAAGTTGTATTAGTTATTTGTTACAAAGAAACTCATATATAATTAGTTACACATTAGCATAAAACAATGCCATATTTGAGCATGTCATACTCACAGCTCATAACATTATAAGTTTGAGTCCCTCCACGTTTAAATCAAAGTGATGTGTATGTGTATGTATAAGTGCGAGTGAGTGTGAGTCAGTGAAAGAGATTGAGTAGAGGTGTATATGTGTGTGTGTGTGTGTGTGTGTGTGTGTGTGTGTGTGTGTGTGTGTGTGTGTGTGTGTGTGTGTGTGTGTGTGTGTGTGTGAGTCAAAGAGAGTGAGGGGGAGAGGGGAGGGAGGGAGGGAGGGAGAGGGGGAGGGAGGGGGAGGGGAGGGAGAGGGAGAGGGAGAGTGTGTAAGTGTGTGTGAGAGTGAGTGTGAATGAATGAATGAATGAATGAATGAATGAGTGAGTGTGAGAGTGAGTGAGTGAGTGAGTGAGTGAGTGAGAGAGAATATGTAAGTATATATACAACATTTGTGTATGCAGAAGAAAGAATATGTAGAAGTATTTATGTTTACTCAATAATCATGTTTATTTGCCTCTTCTTAAGCTTTACTAAATCTTTAATAAAAAACGAAGCAAAATACAATCTAAAATTTTCTATGATTAAACCATTTCATTTATTTCAATGCATTACAACCCAATGAAATATACAACTTGATATTTGGCAGTTTACTTAATCTTTACTGAATGTCTGTATAACATTTACTTTCATTTAATATTTTGTTTCTTTATTAACAGTTACTTAGTATTTCATTTTTGATAACACACAATGTTACATTTCTAATATATGTATATATATGATATTCATTTATTTTTAAAATGTCATACATCTGAAAAAATAACAATCCTTAGTAAACTTACAGAACACACCTGAAAGAAAACATTTATTTATTGTACCGATGCCAAGCAAATATTTATACAAAGGGTACAGTATCATATTCACTGCAAAAAGTTATATTATTCTTACAACTCTGTGAAATGCTAAAATCATCTAAAGGCACACAAATATTCCACCACCAGCAAATAAAACAACCCCAAATTCTATAGCAACTTTGTACATAAAAAATTCACATTTCTCTCATATAACGCATGTTCATAGATCTCCCTTGTGACCTTACAAGGCAATCTGAAACACTGTACTATAAAGAATTGTCCTGTATCCAGATGTGACACCTGCAATTTCATCTTAATCAAACAAGTACTAAAACTCTGATTAGCAGGTTCACACATACATTCCCACACAATAGGGGGGGGGGGGGGGGGGGAAAAAAAAAAAAAAATAAAAAAATAAAAAAAAAACACAGTCACCTATACAAGGTACATGCATACACACACAAGTATCTGACTTACACTTCCTCCAACCACATTTCTACTCATATTAATCTTTTGTGCATAGAAATACACACATGCCAGCAGAAATGGACTTTGCACTTGTCTCATATGACACAGAGGAAACAACACAGACACTCGTAACACCATCAGCAATACCGAGACAAAAATCAAACTATAATCTTGACAAGGCCATTGCAAGAAAGATTACAGATGACTTAGCTTTATGATACTGAACTACATATTTCACTAATAATGTTTGGACTTCTTTCAAATAGCAACAGATTAGTCAAACACTAATAACCTCTGATATGCAGAACTTTATCCATCATATCGCACACACTCACTCACTCTCTCATTCTCTCTCACTTACACACACAATCACTCTAAATGAAACACTCTCATTCTCATTGATGGTCACTCTTACTCTTACTCTTACTCTCACTCACACAACACTCACACTTCACCTTCTCTCTCTATCCCCCCCCCACACACCAACCCACATATATCTGCATTCTCTCTCAAAATTCAAAAGGAGTGCACAATCAGACTCCATGAATTTATTATATTTTCTAGAATAACTAATGGCTAGTGCTCCATAATATTTGCATTATTTTCTTTGGTGAAATTAACTAACAAGTGACTAAAAAAATAATAAATAACTATGTGCAATGAAACAGTGTTCTCATTTTGCCATGTATCACAAAGAACTCATCTACTGTGCTCTGTAGAAAGACGGTCATCATTAAGTTCACAAATAAAACATATACATTTTTTCTTAATGATTTAAGCAATGCACTGTATCATTGTTCTTAAAAATGAATACTCACTTGACTGTAGGCTGTAGAATTAGGTGCCTGAACACCATTGTCCATATATACTCGTACTTGACTTTGACTTGTTATTGTTGACACTGGTGCTGGAGGACTCAAAGATGGTGTGAACCTATATCTCCCTATATATTTTGCTGGTCGTTTGATACTGCAATAAACAAGTTTTATATCATCATTCCTGCAAAAACTTAACTTCGATAAAAATTAAAACTAAAACAAAAGACTGTAGTATAAAACTAATGCTACGAGTCAATGTGATTTTTGCTTTCAAGCAAATGAACAAAATCCTGCGAATTTACCTTGGATACTGAGGGCCACACAATATATAGCAACAGTTTCGACAGCACCCCCGTGAAAAAGGGTTGTAGCCCCCTCTGAACTTGCCCGTGACTTGCTCATTGGTTGTCCTGCCACGACTAACCAATACCATGTGGAAGCCCGTCAGGCCAAGAATGGGTATGAACAGTACTGCTATTACTCCCATTACCACCATGCTGCAAGAATATAATGAGTGTTATTATGGGGCACCATAACAAGATAACTTCCTTCACACATGCACTGATCAAAAAAAGTCATCATCTTGTAATGCAGAATTTTCACAGAAAAGCATATAATAAAAAAATTATAATCCAAAACATTCTCATCTCTGATGAAAACCAATGGCTCTGAAAAACAATTCTATGAAATGATGACTACTATTCATTATGCTGCCTTAGAAGACATTCTGTTATACACAGTGTAAGATAAATGCTCATTACTTAATGTTACTTTAATTAAGAACACAGGAAGAAAGCTCTGTGTAAACATCCATGAACTTAGCAAAGATTTCCTTTACAATGTATAATCCAGAAATGAATCAGTCAAGAATATATAACCAAGAAAAGAATCAGTCTTAAATGCACATTTATAAAATCACTTAGCAAAGCAAAGTAAAATATCATAACACACATTGTATCAAATACAAATGTGATGGTAAATACATTTTTCATTCCTACATACAAGAATTATCTTTTGCTCTAGGCTACTTTACAACTGCCAAAAAATGGCCTATCTAACCTTCTTCACTTAGCCCACGGTGGAAACTATCAAGGGCGATGACGACGACGATGGAAAAAAAATGAATGGAATAGCTTGGTGTACTGGGAACTTTTTAACCCATTACCGACGGGTCATGCGTACAAGTGTCATAACATACCACTTGGTCTGCGGTGTAGAGCTGTACACGCGGCAACGCACCAGAGCGCATGGAGAGGAAAGTTTCACTACTCATAGTGGACTCCCACGCCCAGTGTCTGGACATTGCCACAAATCACTAGAGTTCTTGATGCTCAGAGATTTGTGATACCCGTCGGCGTCAGGTTAAGAGAAGTGAACTCAATACGTACCTCATTACCTCCTAAAAATGTCTACAGTGCTTGTACAGGTTGCCTTTCTGTATACTTTCTCTGATACTTGGTTTTAAGTCTAATTTAGTTTCTATCATGCATTCCACATTCTTTAGTGGATCTACTGCCAAACTGTGGATTTTGCTTCACCAATTAGCAAATAGCATTTTGCATAATGTACCAAAGAGCCAGTGTTTATTGATACAGTCAATGGTAATACAGTGCTAGACTTCCAGGGCATTACATAAAATCTGGTTACACTGACCTGACAAACCAGGCTTCCCCAGGGTGATTAGTAAATCTGTGGAAGCAGTTTGTGACAAATTCAGAAAAATATAGAACTCTTTATTGAGCCCTTCACTGTGATCAAGGTTCTTAAAAAAAAACACTATCTACGCTGTTTTCTGGCTTCTGATTTCAACTTTTTTGTTAAATTGACTGCTTGTATACACTCCAGACCTATTCATTTCTAGTCTTCCATACATATCATTCATAAAAATAGATGACCCTTTCACAACCATGATGACATGGTGCAGCACAGCAAAAATCAATAAAGCCATCTTCTGGGAAGGCAAAATTATTAGATACTGGTCTCCATTGAAAAACACCATGTATCAGATAATCTATTTCAAGTACACTAATTACACAATTTATTGCCTCACAGCAAAAAATGTAAAACTTTTCTCACCAATATTTCATATCGGCTAAGCAATATCCCATTCTAAATTATACATGTGACTACATCAAGAACATTCTCCCTACTAAATGTCACACTATAGAAGCTACCATATCAATATATGAAGGGAAAACTGACTGTGAGCAGAAGATATCATTTGAAATTCAGTTTAAATAACTATCAATGTGAAGATTCTAAAAGGTGTTGATGCATCTTGGGGTCTTGGTAGAAAAAGTTGCCAATAACCAAAGTACTGAATTCCTTCACTTATATGAAAAATTAATTCAGTGTTTACTAATAAAACTGAAAGACCATAATATGAATATCTAGTGTTAGTAAATCAGGGAGGGGAATGACTGATCTAAGTGAACATGTGCCTTCCAGTTAGCACTGGTCCATAACAAGTTGAACTGGTTTATAACAGTGAAAGATACCACTATGCTGTAAAGTGTGCATGCACAACAGAAAAACATTCATGCATATAGTATCTTCTTAGTCTTAAGACAAAATTCAATTAAGTCAATCATTGCCAGGAAAAAAGTGGTTGGTAATGAATAAGTACATTTGGATTCATTAGATGTAAATTAATCATGACCTAGTTCTACAACGTCATATGATACACTTGAGCTACTATGACTTTAATCATCCATATACATGAATTCAAATAATGAAAAGTGAACCAGCTTTCAGTGAGCTAGTCTAGATATATACAGACTATTTCCTCTGCCACCTTAAGACCTTCATCAACATCCATGTTCTCTCTAACTCTGACTTCACTGAAACAATCATCACTAAAGTATAGAACTTCCTATTCTTCTTGCTCTTCTTTCTAATTCCTGTGCATGACAGCCCTGCAACATCCACTGGTCACAGACGGCATTACATCATGTCATAATTGTACTGGACTAAATCACAGACAGCAAAGCAACATGACAGATAGGGAATTTGTCTTTCTCTGAGAGTTTTGGCATCTTTAATTTGAGATCAAGATTTGTTACATGTACCTAAAGTGAACAAAAACCTTTAAGCTCTAGGATCTGGATGTGACCACCACATTGTGAAAAAATTTGGCTTGAGTGGCAGGTGACGTAAACATGCCGTCATTGGAAAATCTGGCTGAGGGTCAGGGTGATGGGAACTCATTGGGCATTTAGGAAGGGGCTTTTGCCTTATTGATAAATGAGTGTATAAAGTACCATCCGTGGCTACAGGGAGGACTATTTCCATACTCAGGATCCTATTCCCGTCCGCCATGACTGGCAGCGCAGGTTGCATTACAATAGATTGACTATTATAAAAAAATTAATAAATAATATAAAATGACATAAATAACAAAATGTTACCTATTGTTATTATTTTTGCAATGAGTTATGGACTATCTAGAGATGATATAGAATCTATGTAAGTGAAATTGTCTATTACGATCTGGATAAAAAAAATCAAAAGACTCTACATCATCTTTCTAGATAATCTAAAACCCAATTCAAGAATAATTATATTTTTCTTTTTTCATTATTATTCAATTTTCTGTAATACAATCTTACCACCGGTCACAGTGGCCAGGATGCTGAGCAATGGCATCCTCCATGGAACCAGTGGTCTTCCAGTCATGGCTCACAGACAATACATTCCACATTTATTTATCAATGGAAATAATGCAAAAGCCCTTGTCTCTATGCCAAATTAGTCTAATCATCCTCCAAGAGGTTATGCACAAATGTTGAGTTTTAAACATCACCCCAAGACAACATGTTCACATCACCCGCTGCTCGAGCCAAAATTTTTCAAGACATGAGGGTCACATCATCGTAGGGGTTAAGATAGCCTAATGATCATATTTTGGGCCAAGTGCAGGTAGTGAAGCACCTGGATCCAAGGGATAAATTTGTTCAAATATGTACTAAGAATAATCAGATGTCCATAGTGTTGGCTGAAATGTTTAACAAGCCAGGCACATACAGGCAACTGTTGATGCACACTAACAATCCAGTGTACCTCATGGTTATTGGGTTAAATACAATGTTCAGGAATATTGTTTTTTATAAGATTTTACTTTCCAGTATTGGGATATAGTTGCTTCTACAGGATGCCCAACTCATTGGACCCAGGTGACATGACTATCATTATAAAAGTCTTTGGGTGAGGGCCAGGTGACAGGATATTGAATCATGGAGAAACTGGTAAAGGCAATGGGGATGGGAATGTGCCATATGGTCCCATAACGGCCTGACATCACTGGAAATGGGGTCAGATATTCCTATCACCAAAAAACCTTCAGCACATTCAAGTGTAGAACTTTTCCTAAATTCACTTGTTATTCTAAATATTTCAAAGTCTGATGACATCCATGTATTTTTTTAAAGATCTATTATCCTTTGTTTAAACTTCTTGGGTCTACTTCTCCACACACAAATTATTAATCCATTATGAAACACTCTCACATAAAGACCATCATTTTAATATTGTTGCATCAATCCCGATATAAATACAACAGATATCCATGATAAATTCTCTATATTATATGGGCAGTTTAGATAATAGAGAGTACAGTGTATATGTATTTGTCTTTTAATGGACAGATTAAATATTGTTAATTAACAAGCACTTACTGCAATAGTGCCAGCAACAGGTAGTCACTACATTAACCCCTTCCCGACAGGTCATGCTGTGAGGTGTCAAAACAAACCGCTTGATCTGTGGTGTGCGGCTGTACGCAATGGCAGCACGCCAAAGTGCTACGAGCCGGTGATTCAGCTTGATGTACCATACTCCCACGTTCAAAGTCAGCACCTTGCCATTGACCTCCAGAGCGTAGAGTTTTTTTTTTTTATTTCTTCACCCTTCATCAAGGGGTTAAACAAGTCCTGAATATCACACATCAAGATTAGACCCCAGATTGAATAGTAATTGTAGTCACTGTTACACTTGGTGTACTTATTCATCTTTTGGTGCCTAGTAGTTGGTGGCTCATTTGGTATTTGTTTCCAATGAATGTCTATTTTCCCTTTGGCCCACACCACTGGGCCACACCAATAGCCATTGTAACAAACCAACTCATCATGCTGCCAAACAGCAAGACGGTTGGCAGAAGTCACCCAAGTCAGTGACGCCGAGAGATTTCCGATACCATCATTGTGGGGTTAATAACTTTTTACTAGTGATTTAAATTTTTGATTTTCCTAGGATTGCTATTACAAAGCTGGTCCTTTTCATGAATATATATTTTCTCTCTCTCAATTTGCCCATTTCCTTTTACCTATCTTCTCTAAACTGACACTTCTGGCACCACACCAAACCACGCATTGGGGTACACAGAGTCAGCTGTACTTGTGTGTGTACTTAGTGTATGTGTGTGTGTGTGTGAGTGCCTCCTTAACTTTAAAGTTCATTTGAGTATCCCACCCCAAGCAAGGAGCTGTATGCCATCACCTCCTAGCCCTGCCAAATTCATTAAAATATTGAAACAAAAGGGGTCACTGGTAGTAGAGAGGTTTTGAAGTAATGATCTGCGATGTTCATCACTTACCGTAAAAAAAAAAAATAATAATAAATAAATAAAAATAAACATTACTTTATCAATAAGTTGATATAACCTTCTCCCTGCCTACTAAAACATTAACGTAACCTTTTTTACAGATTCTCTTCTCTTACTACTTTTCTCCAACTTACCTCACAATGGTGGTCGTTTCAGTCAAACTATCCTTCTTGTCAAGCACGTGTATAAGACTGAAGGTGAAGATTGATATCATATGAATGCTGAGAGAGCACAGGAACATGAAGAAATAGCGGTAGTTCCGTCGACCAATGCAATTGTTGACCCATGGGCAATGGTGGTCAAATGTCTGTAGGGATAAGTGAAACCATTAAAACATTAGAAAACAAAATCTCTCCTTAGCAACATTGCATATAATTTTCAAAGTCTCTTAAGTCTGCTATTTCACTAAAATCTACCATTCTCTTCCCTGCAATAGTCTATAATTTCATTTCCTCCCACAGGTTTCTTAACCCATTCGCCCCAGATCTATTTCTGTCCCCTGTAGTTTTTTGTGAATTTTGTTACAGATGGCTCTACCATGTGCTCAGCCGGCAAGGAGTCTATCAGTAGGCCCTAGTTACCGACCCTGATATTCCCATTCATTAAATTGATGGGAAAATTAATACCATTGCTATCGATACTGTTATTATTGTTATTGATGTTATGATTATTAAATTGTCATTAGAATATTTTAGACAATGAAATGATACAATTTTTTTTATCCAAAATTCTTGATAACTGGCTATTTGGTGATTAAGAACTTGTGGAGCCATCTATGTGTAAATACAGTAGTTAAACATGTATCAAAGTGGGTATGGCATCTATTCTTGCCACATGGGGCGAATGGGTTAACAAATCTAGAGGGATTCACTGATCCTATATTTGCAATTGGAGAAGACAGTATTAGTAAATGAATTGTAATTTCCCATAATGAATAACACCCTCAAGCTGGTACTGCTTGAGGTGACAAGTGGCATATCATGATGCAACTTTTTATTTTGTGATGTGACCCAATAGCGGGTTAGAATTAGAAATTCATTACTTTATTTTATTGTTATCAATTTTATGCTGCATAGATATTATTTCATTGATATTCAAGTATTTAGTCAATACAGATATGATACTAGGAATTGTCAAGAGTATAAAAAATTATCTTTTAATTTTTTTTTTTTTATATACATTCCTAACATTCTGAAAACATAACATACATCAGAATTATACCTACCCTTGCCTCTCAGACTTGATTACTATTTACACTTGTAAATATACTTTGTGCCAGCCCCACAAGATAATTTTTACATGTCTTATATTTCTGTAATTCAATACCTTACGCATAGCTTGAATTTAATGATTTCTAATGAAGACTCTCTGAATTGACCTAGAAGGTGTATCATCACGTGGGTTGTATTTAAACATAATTTTTTCTTTCTCTAAATGTGATTCAAAAGGATGGCATACACATTCTTATGCATCCAACACTCTTCAAAACAATTTACAACTAGAGTACCTCTTCTTATGCTGATGGTATGAGCCATACCAGTGGAGTAGTTGATTTTCCTTTCACATAAGGAAGAAGCTGGCATCACTGCCAATTGCATAAAACATATGAAACCCTTAGATACATTGGTGACATA